TTCCTAATGGCAAGATGTGGAGAACATAACGGCTAAATATTAATTGCCAATGTACGATGAAGATTTCCATTAAGAATGAGTAGTACAAGATGGGACATAATTCTATGTTTAGTTGCTTTTACAAAATGTAAAAATATCGTTGCTTAACCATTTGAGGGAACACCTCATTAATAACCTTCAACTTGCACTAACCATCAGGACAACTCATTTAATTGCCAACTTGTTAGAACCCTATTTAATGGCTTAATTCTAACATGTTTAATACCCCAACCCAACAAAGAAAAATCAACAACAACAAGAGAGAGAAGTAAACACCTTCAAGTTGCATTAACCATTAAGACAACTCATTTAATTGCCAATTTGGTAGAACCCTATTTAATGGCTTAAATTTAAGATGTTTAATACGCCAAACCACAAAGAGAGAGAGTAAAAAAAAGAAAAAACAAAAAAAGCCGCTAGAAAAAAAATATTAATAAAGTGATCACACCACTTCAAAAACGAGGACATGGTTTCTATGAGTCTTTGTAGAAATGAGTAATCTCTTAAAAATCTATTTTTAAGATAGATTTTTGGACGTAATTTTTAAGGACATGTAATATTTAACATGGAGATCATGAATATGAAAAAATAAATAAATTTTAAAAATTAGAAATAAAAATTATATTAAAAAATCATTTGGAAGGTTAGTTTCAATTATTTTTAGATGGACCACCTATTTGCATCCATCTTTAAGATGAATGCTTTTTACCTTGAGACGACATATTATAGAAATGCGGTCCAGCACGCATGAAACAATTTTTCAAAACTCAATGAAACGATTAAATAAGTGATTATCTACAAAGAGACCATTTATCTTTTGTGCATGGAGGTCACAATCATTATTGTCTCTTGAAGTTTTAATTGGGAAGTTGTAAAAGTGTCATTGAATCGACACAAAGTTCCAACAAAAACTCTTAGACTTCGTAACTCATCTCAAGCCATCAAATTTAATATCTAATGATTGAGAATGATTGTGATCTTCATGTATAAAAGATAAATTCTCTATTCATAGACAATCCCGTTAAATAAAATCATTTACCATTAAGGTGATTATCTTTTAAACATACTTTCACTTATATACATCTTCACGAATTATGATAGAAAAATCTAAATTACCCTTATACGTATGATCATACGAGGAATTTTGGCAATTTGCTTAGCAAGATGACCTAAATACCTCTCATTGTTTTGAGTCTTAAATCTAAAACATGTTAATTAAAAAAATTGTTTTGGGTTTGAAACCATAACAAGCAAAGGAATTTATATGTTTTGAGTCTAGTGGCTCAAGTGCCGCCAAATTACTAAAATACTCATACTTTTTCAGTTTTCAAACCCAAAATGAGATTTCTTAATGAAAAACATGTTCAAAGGATTTTTAAGTACTTGTCTTAAGTGACTTAAGTGTGTCAAATTATCAAAACACTCATTTGTTGAGTGTTTAAAAACTCAAAATAAACACAATTTGGGAACTCCTTAACAAATTTCCTAATGAAGTACCTAATGAAATGATTTTTAAAAATAACATCTTTTAGGTAAAATAATTGATTTAACCCCCTCATTTTATTTTTTGAAGTGGTTTGATTATTTACTCATTATTTTAGTAATATTTTACAAAAATGTAACCCAATTTTAATGGACCACTTAGCAATTTTCCATTTACTCAGACAAGACTACATTTATTATACCCACTGGAGTGCTCATGGTTAACATCCCACTATAATATTTTCATGTTTATTATATACAATGCAATAGCCCATTTAGGGTATGGTCCTCGATAGAGCAGAACGGCAGATCGAAATTTGTGTTCCTAAATCCCAAATACTTGAAAAAAAACTCTGATGATGATTAATACAAATAATACAATTTCTTTTGAATGCAATGTAGGGAACATATTGAGAGCCAAGAGAACAAGGCTTTTTATCTATTGGAACAACCTCTATATATATATATATATATAAAGAGAGAGAGAGAGAGAAGTATCTTCTTTCTTTCTGAATAGCCCATTTAGTTATGTGAAGTCATGAGCATGATTAACAACAATTAGCTCATAATAAACTTCACTATATTATCCATTGATATTTGGGGAGCAATATTATCCTTTTTAGTTTCATTGGTGATGATTCCCATGCTTAAATGGTCTTAGCTCTTAAAGAAGCCAACTTCCTGCTTTTTGAGGTATCCCACATGATGATTTGGACTCAACAATCAAATCATATTGAAGTTTCTTTGCTCAAACGATTGTTTACAGTTCACTTCAAGAATTCATTCTTCCCTAATAAAAAAAGAGAAGGGTAAAGTTTCAATAAGCCATTAATCTTATACTGTAGAAGTAAGGTGCACCTCAGAAACCACTTTATAAGGTGCACCTAAAAAATCCACATAAAGTGGTTGCTCAATTGTCAATTTTTTTTTTGTAAGGGCTACAAAATCTATTTTCACCCCTTAATCAATACGATTTAAAGCTCCAAAAATGATGTAGATAGTGTGTAACCATATGCATTATTTTTTGGACTTGAAATCTATTCTTTCCTTTCATAACCATACATATCAAGGTCAAGATGATCAACTGTAGGGTTTTTTGACCTCGGAACAACCTTTTTGAATGAATTTTTTAGGTGCACCTTACTTCTAGAGTATAAGGTTGATACCTTATATAAACATTTTCCCATAAAAAAAAAAGAACAAAAAAAAGAAAAAAAAGAGGTTCAGTTAGCTTGCTTTGTTGTTTTTTTTTTTTTTAGTTCTTCGGACAAACTTCCCGTGGTCGAACCCCCGACCTCACAATTCCCAAACTCCGTTAAAAAAAAAAAAGGAATTCCCAAACTTTTTAGAACTAAACATAAAACCATCCTTTGAACTGGAATTTCAATCCTGAAAATAAATGGTTAGAAGTGTTAATCACATTAGGATATTCCTCTAATCAAAAGGATAACAAAGTGCCATGATTAATCAATTTATTAGTTTCATTGAAGCCCCAATCTTGACATGTTTTAGTTTCATATTCCATGCTTCCACATAATCTAGACCTCAAGGAGATACTGCTAAGCATATAAATCATCGTAATCATCATCATCAATGGAGCTTCATTTATTTTCAATATCCTTAGGCCACAAAACTCATTAAAGACTCTTAAAGTTCACTTATGTAACATGGACATGCATGTCTATGATTTTTTCTGCGCATCAACAGAGAAGGATAAAGCTGTTGTGTCTGCAACTTAAGAAATATACTTTTCATTAACCTTTCTTAGTTAAATGTTGTTCTAAAAGTAATTTGATGTTACCTGAAATCCTCTCTCGTTTTTTCGATCTAAATGACATGCAAACATTTTAGGTCTCAAAGGCCAATTTTGAAGTTAACATTTTCGATACTTATACTAACATCAAATACGAACACGCAACCCCATGTCTTTGTAGTGCAGCTATCCACTCTAGATTATGAAGTCCATAGATAAGAGCAGACAATGAAGCATTAGGAAATTATGTCTTGCCCTACTTCTAAAACTTTTGCTTCACCCAACAAATGCCAAAACCCTTCTTTGTGGTGACCCTTAGGAAGTAGTACACAACTTCATTGCTTTCGTTCGACTGGTTATGACCCATTAGCATGGCATTGAAAAGTCATTCATGGTTCTCGAGATCCAACGATGTATAATTAAGAAAGCTATTAATTTCTTAAAACTTCTAGTACGTGCTTGGTGTAGCTTGGGGTGGCAATGGACCCGATTTGATCAGGGAACCGACCGCTATATCCAACATCGGTCTGGGTATGGGTCCAAAAAATAGACCCGACAGGTCGTGTCCATGCCCGAATATTGGACCCAAATACTATTCACATCTGAATCCGGGTCCCACATTATATTTTTGGATCTAAGTCCAAATCTGATAACTTCAAGTCCAATCAGTTCTAAGTCTGGCCGGAACCGGACCCGACCTGTTGCCACCCCTAGGTGTAAGCCCAAATAAAACAAGAAGTGAGAGATGGGCTCGTTGTTAGTATTTCAACTTCAATTATTCTCATCTCATAAAGGAAACATGATCTTTGTCCTGCCCATGCATTAGTTTTAAGGGAAATTTATCAAGCTTCCCAAGAGAGGTGAATAATTTAACACCTTTTCCACATCTTTTGTTTTAATTTCAAAATACCCATGAAATAAATATATTATCTTAAGTTGGAATTGTGACAATTGGGTAAAGTGTTAAATAATTCATCCATGGGTACTTGATAAATTTCCCTTGTTTTAATCTTAAGGCACAGTGTTACATAATAAAAACGGTAGCATATTGTTCACTCCCTTGAGCAAAACCCTAAGCTTTTTAGGACCCTAAAATTTTGGATAACCTCATCACAGATACCAACCTTAAAAAAAAAAAAGGTGTCCAAAAAATAAAATAACGTCCTAATATTGAACAGAGACCGTCCCACTTCCGGATGGCCAGATCTAGCGTCTAGTTACTAAAAAACCAGTTTTCCTTTTCTGAAAACACTATGCTGATTCTAAAGTGGATCCAAAACATTTCACAGCAAGAAAAATTCTCCTAAGCAAGTCATTTGCCCATGGGAGTACATGTATCGTATATACTCCCGCTGTAATATGCTAAATGCGCTCCTGTTTTAATGGAGGATGATGAAGCTACAGTGATTCCCAGTTTTTTGGACTGCCCACTACCGCAAATTGGTTATACATAACCATAACTGATGTTCAAGTGCCGAAAAGTAGACAGGGAATAAAGCCACTTCGTTGGAGGTGAAATTCTCTTTGGATGAGGGTGTTTTAGAGGGTCGGATATACATTTCCAATCCCACGGAGTTATGTTGATATCCATTTCCATTGCATTTTTGGATCCATATTTTCCCAAAGGTCCTATTTGGAGTAAACAAATCAGTCTTCAAACCTGTGCTTGCTTCAGCCCTAGTCCATAAGGTGAATATTCTGCATCAACCTATAAAGAATTACAACATTATAGAATAAAGCATGAACCTGCATCATCTCACATAATTTCCCTCTTTCTTTTTATGTTTGAGTATCATCTCACACAGTTGATCGATAATAATCACCACTATCGAATCATATCCCATTAATAGTTTACAAATTCCACCATGTAATCAACATCACTGCCTCCCATATCAAGAACCAGTGACACCATATGTTGTCCATATGAAACAAAATCATGTCAATAATCACAATCACCACCACCATGGCACAAATCATGTCAATAATCACCATCATCACCACCGCTATCGCTTGAACCACTGTTTCCCACTCTTATTGGTCCCATTAGGTTTCAATCCTAGCTCCCTACATTGTTGCTCATCAGGGTACAAGGTCTTAGGAATTGCACCGAAAGCCCTCCTAGCCGGCTCAATCCCTGAAGCTGCATTGTGCATGAAGGCTGAGGCATCATCCACAAATCTTCGGATATCACTCATCTCAAAAGAGATTGACATGAACCCCTTTGATGGATATGAACTGACTACTTTACCTCCCAAGGACTGTTCATTGAGTTCAGCTGCCTTAACAAACCTTTCAGTGGCTGCTTCCCATGAAAGTCGGTGCCTAAGCTCATCGCTTAGAGGTAAGGGCTCACTTTCCATGGCTGCCCTTACAATTGGGGGAAACCCATTTGACCCCTTGTAGGTTCGGCAATTGGGAAATTCACGAAAGAAGTCATTGGATACATGGTCTGCACAAATCACAATCTTGCCCATGGCAAGAGCCTCGGCAGTCGTCGTGCACACCACGTCAGTTGTGCTAGGATTTATGAAGACCTTGTACCTGGTATGTGGGCATAATAGTCAGTTGTGCAGAATTGCCAAAAAAGAGGAATTGCAACATTGCAGGCTAAAATAAGGAAAGTATACCACGATCCAACGGAGTACTATATACAATACTCAAAGAAACATCCACCATCCATCCCCAACCTCTAGATGAAGGATGGTGAAGACTAACTGTAATTGGAGGAATGTCCTCATCATTCATTAGCCCCAATATCATTAATCTCCAATGTTCCTCAAGAATGGCAGTGGGCACCTTTTGGGATAGTGTACACTCACTATACCATTTGGATTTGGGTCATTCCTGTGACAATATGAATCCTTTCACATATTTTTGGTCATTCTTACAGAGAAATGTAGTTCCAGGAAATACAGAATAGGGTCAAGGCCCATGAAAGATTTGTACTTCAGGGTGGATGATGTGCATCGATTATTTACACAACAATTACTCAACATTAAACAAGGATAGGAGGTCATATGTGAAATACAGGCCGCACACACACACACCCCTCCCTCCCTCCCTCCCTCCTCTCTCTCTCTCTCTCTCTCTCCCTCTCTCTCTCTCTCTCTCTCTCTCCAGGTGGACCCCATCATTTTCTCAAATCTCAGGTACATTTGTATAACTCTTCAAAACCAACAGAATTCCAGTAGTAATATTAAAAACCAATAGCACTGTAGTATGTAGAAATCCCCCCAAGTTTTTCCAGAACAGTCACACTAACAGAAAAGATTCACATAATCCACCAATAAAAATGCAGAGTCATGAGATTCGGAAGCTTACTCGTGAAAAAGTGGGTCAGCGTGATCTCGTCCTGGATAGACATTAATGGTTAGTGACAGCTTACGGGCAGCCTCTCGAATTTGAACAGAGTCTTCCCCATTACCATATAAATCTATTTCAAAGTCTGCAAGCTTACTCTGGTGCTCTGAGAGTAGTTGCAGTAGCTCTTTGTATCCTTTGCTCCAAACCATCTTGCCAATGTAGTAAGCACCCTTGGAGAAGGTTCGGCCACCCAGTTTCTGCTGCTCTTGTTTCTTGAGGCCCACCTCAAGAAATTTGGGGCCAACTCCATGGACATTACAGATTACGGACCTTGGAAGGTCCTGAGTTGCCGCTGAAAGTCTTATGACCTATAAATTCATAACATAATAGTACCATAAGGGGAGAGATAAGGCAACACGAGGATGAGTAATAAGAAAGGAAAGAAGCAGAGTTAATATTTGTTCTGCCACTGTTGATGCATTTTTCACTTCTATATTAATAGAAACTAGTGGTTTTTTTTATTCATTACGGTTAAAGTATAAAACAGAGGCACTTCTCTATTCATTGGCATAAATGTCACAAGTAGTTTGATCTTAGTGAGGAGAGAGTATAGAGAATACCAAGAAGGAAAGCAGATGTCTTCCTGAGCAAGGAAAATCTCAAAAACCCAATTTGAGCATTTGTGCATGCTGGATACTCATTTTCCAAGATGACAGAGCAAACTTGTACTTAGGCATTAGATTTATTCACTTTTTATTAGGTTTTTTTAGATATTTCCCTTTTCAGAATATTACAAGAATTTCATACTCAATTGATGCTAAAGTTTTTGAAAAGTTGCCCGTGCATCAAAAAAATATGAAGCCCCTTGCAATATTCAATCGTAACAGATGCAATCAACATGGGTAAACCACTAGGCCGAAGTCATTAAAGACCAATGTTCAGCATGGTATTAGACCCACATCTGTAAAGTTAAGTCTAACATGTTAATATTAACATCACGATGATTCCATGTATATAGATCCCAAATGAAGTGGGTATTGATTTTCCAAAGAAACGTCAATAGAAAATGCTATAATCTACTGGATTATGGGAAAAGCACAGTCCATTGGGTCATCACCACCAATTGAAATTATAATGGTGATGGAAGAGAGTGGGATCCACTAGAGCTAGGCAAGAGCCAGAATTGTGAATCCCACTTCACATCCCTGCCATCGTTTCATCGAACAGTCAGACCAAAAGGGCTATGGTTTCTCCCTAGTCGAATATAATATACTTTCTCACATTCAAATGGTCAGAATATATTGGAGTGTCTAGGATCTCTCCAATTTAAGTACAATGGTCACTGCTTCAGAGTTCGTCATCTTCTCCAACTGTAAAATTTGCAAAGAGTGATTAAGGCTTATCAAATGGATCTTCACACTAGGGGACATTTCAAGGTTTAACGCCCTATGAAAAGTTACTCATTTCCTCTAACAAAAAACTCACAAAGCCTCTTTCAAAGAAGGAAACTGAGAATGGATTGAATGATCCCTATGTTTATTTAACCAACACACAGCAAGAGAGAGAGAGAGAGAGAGAGACCTTGTGACAGTATATTTGAGTAACCCAATTATTGACGTAGTTCAAGAAAAATGCTTGGACACGTCCATTCTTTTCTCTTTTCACGTATTCAATATAATTTGTATGCACAACACCAATAACTCGCCGAAATTTGGTTTTCCAACTCCGACCATGATGATACCAAGTAAGATGCTCTGGCTCCTCGAGAACTGCAATATCAGCCTCTTCATCAGGAACTAGTTCGGTATTATCCCCAACAGCTAGGATGCTCCTTTTATCTGTAGAAAACTGCACCAAGATGAACAAATGTAATCACCTTCAAACAACAATTAGAACACATTGTTCTCACCATACATGCTTCATTGTCATTACTATTTGTATTATGTTACTAAGCATTTCATTTAATCTGCACAAATGCATATGTGAAAGTCACAAATGAACTAAGTTATTCCAGCAAGTCATCCAGCATTTATGGATGGACAACCAGTTCACACTTTTTTCAGTGTTAAGCTAGTCAAATAACAATACCTAATGGTTAAAATGCAGAGTTCCGCACCACAATGCAATGGAGCTCAGACTGTCAAGAATTCATGTCATTTTACTTTGAGAGTAGTAGGATTAGAACTTGGGATTCTTTGTTGCAATCATCAACACCTTAACCAATCAAGCCAAAGCCTGAATAGTAACTGCTTCAGAAATATATATGGTTTGATAAATAAATAAAAACAAATTCTCACCAAATTGACAAGTAAATCAAACAAAAATTGGATTTCGGACATCTCTGCCATGCATAACCTGACATTGCTTGACATATATTTTGCCTGCTGGTCTACAATTACATATCCTCAAAACCAAAAAGCACGTGCTGAAAACCAAAAAGCACGTGCTGAAAACCAAAGAAACATGAATTCTTTAGACTATCACAATGAATCACCCTAAAATGCACAACCATTAGCCAAGGAAATTCCATGAACTCCTCTGCATCAGCAGATGTTTTTCCCACTCGTTCACTATGCCCATCAATCATGCAGAGGCAGCAGAGCTCTTTATGTAGACTGCCGAGTGTCTTCTAGGTGCACAACACATTAATAGGATTCTTAATGGGCCTGGTACACCTGAAATATTTTGGACTGGGTAGGACCGGGGATTGCATTGGCCCAGCCCGTCAGAGCCTGAAATTCTTTTAATTCTATATTCTAATGGTTAGGACATCTCCTCGGCCAAGGAACCCAGCCCTCAGCCAAGGTGATTACTCGGCTGAGTCCTGTACAAGGCCAAAAAGCCCCTAAAATTTTTAAAAAATATAACATAAAATATGAAAAAATAAAATAAAGATATTTAAGGTAAAATAAAACCAAAAGCACCCTTAAGATGTCCAAATATGCTTAAAGAGAGTAACAAAAAAAGGGACTAAAAAATTTGATTTCTAGCTGGGGAACATTTTAAAAAAATCCAAAAAAAGGAAAATATAAAAATCGGGATTAGGGAAAAAAAACTCACAAATATATGTCAAAAAATCCAAATCATATGCAAAAAATTTATCCAACGCAACCTACTTTTTATAATTTTTTTTTTTTTGAACTTGTATGGACCCCAAGTTGTACATACAACTCAAGGTAACTCAGCCTTGCCCATAAAGTGAGACCGAGTTTCTTGCCCAAGTTCGAGTGGACTGGAGCAAGTCCCATAAGAATGATATATTCCACATATTAAAAGAGATTCCCTATATTTATATTAGACCTGACCTGCTTAAATCTTTTCCAGTCCAGGTAGGGCTCAAGCCTCGTTATCATGAATTCGGCACGGGCCTAACCTAGAATTTCAAGCCCAGGCCTACCTTGCAAAATTTCGGGCCAGGATGGCCCTGCTCGAACCGACCCCCATTAATGGCTCTCTACACATATCAACAGCATGGCAATTAGTTCAAGTGAACTAAATGAAACTTTGAAGCAGAAATCAGGCGCATATGAGATCAGCCTCACAATTTGTCTTATTAACATTACAGCACAAAATCATGAGATTGCACAAGTCGTTTTCATGGAACCTAGGAATAATTGGAAATAGCCAAAACTGTCGCTAAAATTATTTCATTCCTAATTACATTCGAAATATCCAAAACTGCCACTCAGAAATATCTTAATTGGACTAAGGCAGAACATATAGAATGCAAGTTTAGTAATAATAGGAGTAGAATTAGTTAAGATTGGTGACCACGAAGTACCTAAACGAGATTACCTTTAGATATCTTGGGTCGTTAATCCATGAGAATGGAGAGATTGAAGAAGATGTCGAGCATAGAATTGGAGTTGGGTGGACAAACTGGAAATACGCTTCTGAATTCTTATGCGATCGTAGCAAACCAATGAAACTGAAGGGGAAGCTCTTAAGACCAGACATGCTTTATAGGATAGAATAATTTTTTTTGGGGGGCAAATATGGGATAGAATGTTGGTTAGTCAAGAAAAATATATTCACAAAATCAGTGTAGCGGAGATAAGGATATTGAAATGGATGAGGTGTAAGACAAAAAAGGATAGACTTCAAAATGAATACATCAAAGGGAACATGGGGGTGGCTCCAATAGGCGATAAGAAGCGAGAAAGTAGACTTTAGTGGTTTCGCCTTCTGCAGTGTTGGCCTAGAATAGCATTGGTTAGGAGGGGCAATTTTGTTTTTTTTTTTTTTTGGGACAAGGTTACATAGGAATGGAACTTGAGACGTAGTGCTATGAAAACCCGGCTACTACCGTCTTGAAGTGGAAGGCTCTAAAAGGGCAAGGAAAAGCCCCAAAGGACATGAATGGAAGTAGTGAGGAAAGATATATGACCTATGGTCTAACTAAGGGTACGGTCCTTGATGAAGCAGAATGGCATAATAACATTTGTGTAGCAAACCCCGAATACTTGGGATGAGGCTCAGATGAAGACGATGATAAATTAAATATTCAAATATTTCTAATATATCCCATAACTAGTATATAAGTAAGAATATGACAGCTACTTTTTAATCTACACTGAGGGACTTCTACCAGCCGTATAACATAATAACAGCAATTTGCTTAACCATGCTAGAAGTACTTCCCCAAAGTTTATCCAATATAGACAAAGCACACCATATCCAATAATCCTGTTGCTAATTAGCAACTTTTTGGAATTCATGTATGCTATATAGGTGTGTAAAAACCTCCTCCATCATAAGATGAAGACCATAGTCAGAGGAAGCCTAGGAGTCCAAGACATGCTAGTGAAATGCATCAATAGGGCATCAAACAATCATGAATGGCAATTAAAAGCCTATATGAGAGAGAGAAGAATAGCTAGTAAATACTAGGAGTAATAATGAAACCAGATGGGATGCGACTAAATTCACTTAGGCCCACATCTGGACGGCCCAACAAGTCTATTGAAGGAATAAAGTTGTTCATTAATGAAGGAAAATTAGGGTTCATTTTGAGTGTTCTAGGATCTTTGTTAATGTTTCTTTGACAAGTGAGGATCCAAAAGTCCATCACCAATCAAGCTATTTTCCACTCCAAAATGGCCCAATTAACTGAAATTCGGTCACAGAAACAGGGCCTTAGTAAATAGCAACGGATAGAGAACTCAGACTGCAAACAGATATCATGACATAGCAGCATCCTACAAGTGAGAATCATGGCATAGTAACATCCTACAAGTGAGAAACTTTTCAGACAAAAGAAAAGAGACCGAGGGAACAGTTGGAACCCAGTACATTTTGGATCCTGAGCATATGTATATAATGAAGGGAAATATGGGAAAACAATAGTCCATTGGGGGTTCCTGCCCACCCATTGGATGATGCATGGCGATGGAAAGAATATGGGACCAAACATTGGGAATTGGAAGAATATGGGATCAAACATTGGGAATTGGAAGAATATGGGATCAAACATTGGGAATTGGGTTAATGTATGTTGTGGTGTGTTCCTCTCTCTTGCGCTGTCCATCATTTCACTGAACAGTCCATGACCCCAATCAACTATGGCATTCAATAGTTAAGGTACTCTTACTATATATCTTGAATGGCAAATGTCCAAATTGGTTAGAAACCCAACACAAGTCCAAAAGGGTTGCACAAAAGAATTTACGATTCCAGAAAAAGAAGCCCATTATAAAGATTGCAAAATATTACCCTTCCAGGATAGAAGCGTATGTTGAAATCCGATGAAAAACCAGTCTTCTCTTCAAGCCATTGACGAATGTAGGCTTCCTGCTCTAAAGGTGTGGAGAAAGTGATTCCACTGGGGTAAACCAGTTCTTGCTCCTTTAAAGAAAGCCAGGGAATAAAAAGTGTAACTCTTCCATGTCCTGCCTTTGCGAGATATGCTGCTCGGAATAGAGGGTTCACTGCAGTTCCAGTCATCCATGGAAGGCTTGCAGTCGTAAAAATCGAGATTTGTTGGTTTGTATCCATTGAATCATCTGAGAATCACAACCACAAAATACCCCAATTTATGAAGGCACAATACATGGATCAAAGTTCAAATATGGCAAAATCTCTCCAACACAACTGAAACCCACTAAAAATGAAATCTCTCAACAAAATATTTACAAACCAAACCTATATTTCCAAAGAAAATCTGGAATTTAAAAAAGAAAATTTACAATCACATACAAAAAATGTCTGAATTCCAAGTAAAATGATAACTTCCAACAAACAAAAAGAAAAAAAGACAGTAGCAATGAAACCATGACTCCACATAAAGAAGAATAAATATTTGAAAGTTTTATAGGTTTCAAAAAACAAAAAGCAGCACCTGACTTATTAAATTAGCCAAACAAATTCTGGTTTAAATGAGATGTCAATACTCAAAAAAAAAAAAAAATCAACAATAATGAATTCAATGACCAAATTCAATGATCCAAAAAAACCACATCCCATTTTCAACAAATTAAGGTGATGTGTAGAGGAAAAATATCTCAAAATATCCAGCGATTCAGTTCACAGTTATTCTAACAAAAAATTATGAAAAATAAAAATGATGACACCTTCAAGAAAAACATATACAACTGATTTAAATAACACGTCAATGTTAACAATTCACACAATTCAGAAGCTGAAATCAATAATGTAAAATTCTAGAAAATGTAATTCAATAAAAAACATCTACCGCTTATTAAGAGGATATAATCAGTGTAAAATATTGCAAATTCCACGACAAGAGCAGCAAAATTACTTAAATGAATAGCAAAAAACAATAAAATGAATTCCATGAAACGTACCTGCAATCCCAATGAATAACGTGAAAGCGAGCTCAAACTTCCATTTTTTCGCACTCCTCCCTTCTCAATTTGCCCTAATTCTCTGATAATGGAGACTTTGCGGGCAATAGTAGGGTTACACAAAAAGATATGGCAAATTAAGTGCCCAAATATGTCTAAACGATGAATGAAAGCCCTAATAATGGACCTCAGGTTCTCCCATGAGTTGGCCCTAGGCTAGGTGTTTGTCTAGAGAGAGAGAGCGCTGGTTGTCTTAAAGGCTAGTGTGTGGAGAGAGAGAGAGCGCTGGTTGTCTTAAAGGTTAGTGTGTGTAGAGAGAGAGAGCTGGTTATCTTATATGTATAGAGAGAGAGAGATAGTCTTTGATGCCAAGTTGGCATTCAGAGTAAGGAATGTTCTTGGGCATCTTACTGGTAATTAATTATTGGAACATTTTTTAGGCTCAAATTAATACCTAACAGTCAAAATTATTCAAAAATAGGAAAATTAGCATAAAAATCTTTTTGCATTTTATATTTTACATTTGGGTCTCACTTCTTCTTTACTTTTTTTTTTTGCAGGAAATATAAATTTTTAATATCTATTTCAATATATATTTGATCAAATTGAAATTTTGGGTGTCTACCGTAACATACTTGTAAAAATATTTAAAAATATGTTAAACAAAAGGGTGTGGTTTGTATAGAACCTAGGCTCTAAACACTCAAATTAGATCCCACCTCCAAAGAGCGCCAAGAAATGTGGTTTCAATATTGAAAATCATTGTGATAGCTTTAAAATATATTTTCATAACTATTTATGAAGTTGAAAGCTTAAAAAATAGTATAGTTCGACATATCTATGATATCTTGAAAATTGACAGTCCAAAAATACGTTACAAAATACACTATTTTCAAAATTTGCAATCCATTTTTTTCTTATGTCCATACACCTTGTTGTCGAGATGATCAATTTGAAGGTATTTAGGTATTAAAACAATCTCTTCTAATGAAATTTTGAGATAGGCTCAAATTTGATTGTTTAGAGACTCCGCTCTATATAAACTTTTCCCAAAATTAAAATGACCCAAAAGACCCCTAAAATTTCAAAACTTATTTTTTAAAATATTTTTTGATATTATTTACAAATGTAAGATACAGAGAAGTATCGACTTCCTAAATTTGAGCTTCATCTTATGTATAGAAAAGAAAAAAACTTTAAATACACCGTATTCTCTCACAAATGGGACTTGAGCATAAAATATAAAATATGTAGGATCATTTTAAAAATGGATTATATATATAAAAGGATGCAACCTTATAACGTAGAACTACGGATGCACCTAAAAAATCTATTGAAAAAGATAGTTTTAATGTTGAAAAACCCGTTGATTGATCATTTCGACATCGAGATGTATGACAATGAAAAATAAAAAGATTTTAAGTCTCATAAATAGTGCATTTTACATCATATTATCTACACCTTCCGTTTTCAAGATTTTCATATATTTATAAATCTACTTGATTTTAACCATTTTTTAAATTTAAAATTTTATAATTAGATTTAAAAATAGATTTTGAGATAAGGGAAAAGTTTATATAAAGCCAACGCTCTAAACAATCAAATTCGAGCCTACTTAAAAAATTACATTATAAGAGGTTGTTTTGATGCCCAAATATCCTCAAATTGATCATCTCGACATCAAGATGCATAGACATGAGAAAAAAAAATAAAGATGAACATATATTTTTAGGCTATCACAAATATTTTCAGCATTGAAACCACATTTCTCGATACTATTTGAAGGTAGGCTCTGATTTGATTGTTTAGAGCTTAGGCTCTATACAAACCGCACCCTTGAGATAATCCTAAGAACATTTTACATCAAAATTATATGCCATGATAAACTTTGAAGGTGCCTGATGCATTCGTATGCCAACTGCACCCTTATTAATTATAGTAGAGAATAACATCATCCACTTGAGGTGTAACATCACCCACATCAAATATTAAAAAAACTTATGACGGCTTGAAAATCCTGTTCAACCCTCACTATAAAATTTAAAATTTATATAAGAAGTGCACATCGAGCAAATCTATAAATGTTTAAAAAATCTTGAAAATAGATGGTCCAAATAACTTGTTGCAAAATGTATCATTATTAGACTTGAAATTCATTTTCTTCTTTATATCCAACATCTTGAGGTTGAGATGATCAATTAGAAGTGTCCAACTTTGAAATACTGTTTTGTATTGGATTTTTTAGGCGCACCTTACTTCTATGGTATAAGGTTACAATCTTATATAAAAATTTTCTAATATAAAAATATGGAAATGGTTTATATTGAGCCAAGGCTCTAAACAATCAAATTAGAGCCCACCGTAAAATTTTCACTAGAATAGGTTATTTTGATGCCCAAATATCCTCAAATTGATTATCTCGACATCAAGATGAATGGACATGAAAAAAAAAAAATAGATTTCCAGTTTTGGAAATAGAGCATCTTGTAACACATTTTAGACCATCAATATTCAAGATTTTCAAGTTTTCATAGTTTTGCTCGATCTACACTATTTTTGAAGCTTTAAATTTTATAATTCATCATCATCATTTTAGTATTTTTCTAATTAATTGGGGTTGGGTACATGAATCCTGGTTTTACATTCTCCTCTATTAAAGATGAAAATATATTTAAAAGTTACAACAAAGATTGTCAATAATAAAATCATATTTATCGATACTATTTGAAGGTACGCTTTATTTTGATTCTTTAGAGCCTCAGCTCTATACATATCGTGCTCTATACATATCGTACCCTAAAAATATTGATTATAGCAAAAAAAAAAAACTCACTATTGTCAAATACATCCAAAACATATACAAAGTGATTAAAAAACCAATCCATTATCTTTAAATTTTTATTTTTATTTTTATTTTTATTTTAAATTTTTTATACATTACCAAATTGTGCACCTAACTTAGAGATATTTTTTCTAAATTGATCTCATCCATTGGAAGCCACCTGTCCAAAATGGGATCCTTTTCCCACTTTATTGTAGATATGTTTGGTTGTTAGACTACCAACCATCAACCTTACTGACGTTGGGTAAACGTCCATTTTGGTAAGCATGTGCCGCACAAACGCCGTACATTCAAGATTGTACATAGAACAATGGCATAATTACAAAAACCGCCCGTGATTTGACTTTCTTTACAACATACCCCTGATCAAATTTGTTGTCGCAACTTTTACCCAAAATAAACATTTTTAGCAAATATCCTTAGGTTCAAAAATTATAATTTTTAAGATCAAAATTGAAAAAAAGACCAATGTGATCTTTTATCGGGAAATATATATATATATATTTTTTTTTCTTCACCTCTTTCTTCTGGCAAAAGATCACTTACATGTTGTCTTTATTATAATAAAATAAATTTCAAAATAAAATCAGCATAATAATAAAGCCAAGATCTTAACAAATTGATGCCATTAAAACAACTATGCACTATGCTTGAGAATAACAGATAAGATTGCAAGAAACAAAAAGAAGAGTGTCGAAGATTACCTCAACCGGGCGGATTACACACCACACAGAGTCACTACCATCTGATGGCGCGGGATCAACGGTCTGACTTCAATCTCGAACCGGAAAAGCAAATTTCAGTCAAGCCACACTAATAGAACATGAACCCCTTTGATCACAAACTTAAGCCCTAGGTGAATTCTCTCAGCAACCTAGTTTGAGAGATATGAATTCTCTTTTTGCTAAACCCTAAAACCGTTAGCCATAAATCCATATTTGATATATAGGAGAGAAGAACTCCATAACCTAAACTCTTAGGTTCTTTCCCAATGTGGGAGAGAGATCAAACATGGGAGAGATAAATGTTCTTAAGAGAGAGATATAAAGATAAGGTGTAGATATTTTTTTGGTAGAGACAATCTCTTTTTATAGGCTTTGAATCAGATTAGGGTTTCTTAGGGTTTTCTTTGGCTTGCCTCTTCTTGTGAGATTAAACGTCGATCAAGGGTGACTGGTGGGGTGAGAGATCTGAGTTATCAATTCCTTAGATGGGCCGTCAAATGTGTATGAACCATTATCCCCCTTTCTTAAATAATTTTCTCATCAATAAAAATTAAATAAATTAAATATAATCAAAATATTGCGTATACCATTAAATAACACAAGTCTACTCAATCTTTTCACAAAATCTTTCAAAGATATATCAAGTCAATATTTAGTCAATATCTTCCAACCATATAGCTACATACCATATCACCAAAAAATAGGAAAGAGAATAAAGGTGGGGAAAGAGAATAAAGGTGGGGCGTGCCACCCAAGGGAGGCACTCATGAGCCCCACCTGTTAAAAATATGGTGGGCTCATGTGCACAATGGGCCCCATGATATTTTTATACATTTAAAATTAATAAAAAGATTTTAGAATATTATTTGAATATTTAAACAATTGTAAAATTAATATATATAATTTTATAAATTCAAAAATTATAAATAAAATATCCAGGGATTCATAAAAATTCAAATACATCATAAAACAAATACAAATAAATTAATTTGATGAGAAAATTTAATTTGATGCGAAAATGATCCATATGGTTTAGGAATCAACAATCAGGGGTACTCCACCATCAACTGTGGACTACAGACCACATTTGCTTTATCAGACCGACCCAGTGTTTCCTATGACCCAGAGTCCAAGGAGGGGCTCATAAGCAGGTCACAAAAGTTTGGCCGATGAGCCAAGGGATGGCAATCCCAGTCTGTGGATTTCAGGTCCTCCCCTAGAGACGAGTAAATGTCACTTAGACATGATGCGACCATAGCTCTTATGGTGCATAAGGGTATCTCTCGCATATGCATACGCTTCACCCTAAAAGGTGGATTTTTGGCTTTTTCGAACGATCTATCGATATGCACATCGTGTGATGGCACATGGATGAGGCTTTGCCCCCCATCTCTATAAACCACCATCACACACAAGGGTCACACAGTCCCTCGACTCACTCATCCGGGCATTTTATCCGACCTCGTCAAGGGCTAACCTATTAGAACCCTTATCGATTTGTTCTTTATGCGTAGGTAACATGGATTTTTCCCAACCGACTGGTCGAAATCGTCAAGCACAGTCCGGTATCTGTAAATATCGTTTGTTTAGTATAACCCACGAGGAACCACACTCCCACTGAGTCCATGTTACACTCTATCATTTCATTTTACAACCACTCATAAGGCCTTTAAAGACCACATGAACCCAACATCTCCCGCTTGATCTTTGAAGGCTTTACATTTTCTCTTTCTCACTTTCTCTCATTCTCAT